CGATTTTCTGGACTGCCCGACTCATTAACATCTGACCAAGGACGGACATTCATTGATAGTACCTGGAAGGAAATTTGCGCAAGGCTGACAATTAATCACAAGCTCTCGACTTCTTATCACCCTGAGACCGATGGCCAGACCGAGAGGGCCAATAAAACACTTGAAGTATACTTGAGGCACTATGTTAATTATCATCAGGACGATTGGGCCAGCCACTTACCTTTAGCTGAATTTTGTTGCAACAATCACACCAATGCATCAACAGGTCTGTCGCCGTTTTTCGCTTCCTTTGGCCACCACACACGGCTTAACATTCTTCCGGAATCAGAGACTGCTCTAGCACGGGACACCCCTGAATTAATATCACGAATGCAACTGATATCACAACAATGCAATGAAAATATATCTCTAGCACAGGAATTTCAAGCCTCGTACGCAAACGAAAATCGCCTCCCCGCGCCAAGATATAGAGTGGGAGATCGGGTATTTTTATCACTGAAGAATCTTCGTCTATCAAGACCAACGAAAAAATTAGACCATATCAGAGCCGGTCCTTGGCGCATCACTGTAATGAAAACCCCTCTCGTCGCAAAATTGGACCTACCACCACAGTGGAAGATTGATAACAACTTTCATGTCAACCTTCTCAAGCCAGCATTTGTCGGATTCCTGGGTCAGCAACAACTCCAGCCTCCAGCTGTCGAAATATCAGACGGAGATTTCAACACATACGAAGTGGAAACTATTCTGGACTCAAGAATTCGTCGGAAAAAAGTTCAATACTTAGTTCGATGGACAGGATACGAGGATACTACTTGGGAGCCACTGAATAATTTAACAGGCTGCGGAGATCTCTTAAAAGAATTTCACAGCCTTTACCCGAGTGCAGCTTGCTCGACGGAGCTCGCAGATTGAAAAACGGGAGGGGTAATGTAAGGATTCTCCTTCCCATCCTATCTTTAGTATATAATTTTACCCTTCTCCTGATGTTGCTATGACAACAGAACAGTTCTTGGCATTGGTTATTATGTTGGCACTAGTTTAGGGCCTATGTTATGATGAGCTAGTGGGAGGAAAGCAAGTATATATATGATGGCTTGGCCTGTAGCTATAGAGTTCTTCACGCTTAGTCTTCTGTCATAACCACCACCTTCGGATCACCTCTGGTCACCTATAGTCACCTCTAGTTACCTTTAGCACCTTTAGCCACCACTAGTATTTGCTCGTATCTTTAGACTCTTTAGACACTTATATTACCCATTTTTAAACCTTTAGTTCTCCAAATTATCTCCAGTAGATCTTTAGTCATCCCTCGCGATCCATCCGACCTCTTCTCGCCCTTCTATTCCACCTCAGGTCAAACGCCAACGCTCCAATTTGACAAAGACCATATTTCGCGCGGAGAAAATTTGAAAGATGATGGAGTCGTGTCTGGAGAACTCAGGGTTTTTGAGAGGTTCCCCTGGGTGTCACGGTGGCTCACGGGTCAGGTACTAAAGAAAAGAGAATATAACTGTGTTGTGCAATGGTAAGAGAACAAAAGTTTAGATACAAGAGATATCTATGTTTGTTTGTTTGTTTGCATTTAACGCCAAGTAGGCTCACGGGTATGACCCAGCTTCTATGCCCAGGAATGGGCGTTTGGCGTATCCGCATAGCCTATTACTATCGGACAATTCTATTGTCTAAAAAACTACTATATCCTCTCTTTTTTTTCCGCAATTAATGCTCGATATTAATGCAAGGTAGAGATCTGAGCCACTCTGTTCGTGTAAATCTCTCAATGCCTAATTCCTTGATACTCCCCCCCTTTTTTTGTTTTGAAATTACTGTGATTAAATTACAAATTTGTGCAGTTGTTTCTGTCGTAATCTAACGCTTTTCATCCTCGGACTTCATGGTGAGCAGTAGTTGTATAGCACGTGATGCCATGCGGGGGAGAAGGAAGAGGATGGCGAAAGCCGTTTGCCAGATCTAAGCGATCTGGCCCACTTGTTGATGGAGAAATCCTTTTTGTATATAGACAATACAACCCCAACTAGTACAACAACAATAGTAAGGAACTCATACATTGTGACCCATAAATCTCACTCTCATATCTATCACTCCACGACAAAGCTTCAACAGTTTCAAGGCAATCCTATCAATGTCACCACTAATCTTGCTTGTACACTGTAAAACCTTGTTGTTTGTATGGAAGAGCTGTATTGCACCATTTCCCGAATTCTTTGGCCCCTGTTGTTGTGCCGAGGATCCACATGATGTCCCCCTCCTTACCGCGAGATGGACGTGGTCTCGGAGTTTTACTTTGGTCAAGTTTCCTGCATGCAAAGGGATGTTCCGGAGCCTTTTGTTCTCCACAGATACACAATAGCTTGGCGTCTTGGTGCTGGAAGCGTCTGTGATACGTGGCGTAATCTCCGTGAGCGGAGCAGGCAGCAAGGAGTAATGCGAGATTTTTCCGAGATAAAATCTGCAATTCCTCAGGCATTTGTCCTGTCATAGGTATCTTCAGACTCCTATATCTACTCAGAGCGTGATCCTTCCAAAATTGGATGATGCTACTCTCGTGCGGCTCCTTTATGAGGCTTTTGGCTCGGTATATCGAAGCTTTTGTCCGTGTAGTTGTTTCGCTGCAGGCCTCCCTAGCTAATACGTCTGTACGCTCGTTTCCTTTAATCCCTGCGTGACCCGGAACCCATTGTACTTTCACTGCACCCTCTACCTCTCTCGATGATTGCACTCTACTTTTCCAATTTTCCCTCAATTCCTGAAATTCTGCAATCTTGACCGAGCTGGATGGGCTTAGGTAGCCAGTGTGCAATCGTAGTGCCGCTTCTTCATTATCCAGACATACCACAATACTTGTAGCGTATTTGGCCATACAATGTGCCATGGCTGCTTTTAGCCCCTCGACTGCCCCGATAATTTCTGCATCAAATACTTCTGCAGTCCGACCGAGGGGAATCTTCACATTTGTAATTTCTGAGTTTGGTCCCCGGTATATGCAATACGCACTGCTTGCCTCTCCTTCCTTGTTCATTGCCCCATCTGAATATATGAAAAGATCTAACAAATTGTGTCTCTGGATGCTCCCAATTTTGATATTCCGTCAGACCTTTTTCTCGGCCGATATCTCCAATCTCTTCCTTTGCTTTACTCCTATCAAGACTAAGCCAAGGGGGGGTGATAGTGTCCAGCGATAGTTCGACTTTTTGGCGGCTCCTAATCCATTGAAGATGTTTTGTATTCCAACAGCTTCGTGAGGGGTGCTTAGGGTCAGCCGAGGCAACTCTAATTACAAAGCGATCGTGTATTTTTTCTAGCCAGGTAGTTATTGGAGCCCATCCAGTTTCCCGCAAAAGTGCTGGGACAGGGGTAGTTTTATACACTGGTAATACGGCTCGAGCTGCTCTATTAACTGCTCTTTGGACTTACTCTATTGCCCACTTGGACGTTTTTGGTCCATACCACGTCTCAGCTCCGTAGAAAAGTGACGCAAAAGCTATACCTTGGAAGGCTTGCCGCAGAAGAGCAGGTTGGGCACCTTCCACGGTGTTACATAGTCTCTTGGCATGGTCAGCGACCACTCGACAGCGCTGGCAGGCTCGCCTTATATGTTCCTTGAATGATAGTTTCCTATCAAAGACTATCCCAAGCCAGCGGGTGTGATCATTCGGAAGAACTACGGTGTCCTCCATCATTAGGGGAGGTTCCTGATATTTTCTCTTATTATGAAAATATTGGAGCTCAGTCTTCGTTGTTTCAAACTGAATACCGTTGTCCCTACCCCATTGTAGAGTTCTTGTGAGTCGTAACTGTAGTCTCTGACTGCATTCCTCAAGATTTGGGCCTGTTTCGAACATTGCGATATCATCTGCATAGCCGAAACATCCGCGTGCAAGGCGCATGACTGGTTCTACATAGAGAAGAAATAGAATGGGCGATGTTGGAGATCCTTGTGGTAGACCACATAGAATCTGAAAAGGGTCTGATAATTCTCGATCGAGTCTGATTCTTGCCGACCGGTTTTGAAAGAAAGAGCTTACCCATTGCACTACGTTCTCCGGCCATCCCTGAGTCCTCAGTCGAAAAAGGAGTCGGTTTTGCAGCACCCCATCGATAGCCCCTTTCACATCAACCGTCACCATACCTGCAATTTTCCCCTTGCGGAGTGCTTCATTAACATCACATACCAATGCTGTCGTTAGATCCGTATCTGACCGTCGGCTTATTGCACTACACTGGTCCCTACCTAGTATATCAAACTTCAAGGAGCAGAATGAGAGACGCCGTACGAAGAGCCGTTCAAGTCCTGTTCCAAGACATGAAAGAAGAGCAATAGGTCGGTATGATTTAGGTAGTGTTCGATCTCGTTTTCCAGATTCTGGCAAAATAACAATGTGTGCGCGCTTGAATATCTTTGGATGTACCCCGTGTACTGCGCATTTATTGAAAAGCCTAGTTATCCGCTCCACTAATATTGGCCATGAGAGTCGAATAATAGGAGCCGTAATTTCATCCTCTCCTGGTGAGGTTGAAGATACCTGACAGGTTGCCCGGAACAATTCTACTTCAGAGAATGGTTGCCAAGGAATACGCCTCGCGGCTACCGAGGGGGTTTCTTCTGGGATATCAGTTGCCTCCAGATGTCGGGAGAGGAGCACTCTATGGAGTAGTGCTGCTTTTTCCTTCGGGTTCTGGATGTTGGGCTCCCCATCTGGTCCCTTTAGTGGTGGTGTCTCATACTTGGGCGGAGTGTTGTGCCAATTCACAATCTTAAATACTTCTGAGAGAGACTCCGATTTTTCGATTCTTGTAGTCCAGTACTCTTTCTTCGCACGTCTAACGGCATTTCGGAGATTTTTTCGTTCGAATTCATGCTTTCCCTTCCGTCTTGCTGCGTAGTATCTACGAGCTGCGAGCTTACAATCTTTGTTCCACCAGACGGTGCCATGGTTCTTCTCTCTGGCGCGAGGGCAGGCAGACTGGAGTGCCGTTCAGATCACTTTAACAATATTTTCCGCCTCTCTTTCGATGTCGTCTACTGTCGAAAGATCTGGGGGGTCGCTATGGCATCTCAATAGAGTTGTAAATAAAACTTCGTTATTTGAGTCATACCGTAGGCGCCTCTCACTATTTTCAATCGCATTGTATTCACCAGTTAAGGTGGTCACCATTGTTTCGTGGTCGGATATAGTATGAAGGTCAGAAGGGATCTCACATTTAGCTCCAGCTAGAGAGGAGAAAGCTAGATCTAATGTTCCGCCGCCCTTGTTTGTCGACATTTCCGTTGGGTTTAAGAGAATAAGTTCTTTCTCTGTTGCCCATTCTTGTAAGTCTGCGCCCCCCTGAGAAGTGTAAGTGACATGCGAGTCCCAGATTGGATGTCGCGAATTAAAATCTCCACCGACAAATTCAGGAGTACCAGTCGACTCGATTAACATTTTAAGGCCTTCTCCCGCTCTGATTGACCCAGCTGGAGCGATGTACACATTCCATACAGCTATTTTCCGACCACGCCCGGTGGAGATAACCACCGGCAGTAGGTCTGGAGAAGTATTAATTGCACTTTGGTATGAGCGCAGTCCTTGTGAACTGCTAATGTAGGTTAGAACTCTGGGGCGAGTATGCCATTCGTCTAGTGGCGAGAAAAGCGCAAATTTTGGGTGTGGAATTGACCTTTTCGCTGTTAGATCTTTTAATATCCAAGGTTCTTGTATGAGTAGAGCGTCAAAATTATTTTCGTGTGCGAGCTGGAGAGCCATATTGTGCGCGTAAGCTCCTCCTCCAACATTTACTTGCATGATTCGGATTGGTCTGATTTTTAGATTTTTCTGTCTCCTGACCATATTTAATGGGTAGGGTTGTGTTCAGTGAGGGTCTCGGCACCGCTCTCGGCCGATTCCTGAGTATGTCTCAAAGTATTGGCAAGCTCTCTACGTCCAGCGGCGCGTATATGTCGCAACTGTGCCCCTGTTGGGCGAACGAATACACCATGATCTCTACGTGGGCGAGCCGGGCATGAGGTATCAGTAGATTCGTGAGGCCCACGGCAATTTAGGCACTGTATTTGTTGTGCGCATGGACCTTCGTGAGAATTCATTCCACAAGAGGCCCATTTAAATTGTCGGGCGCAGGTTCTCGTGGCGTGGAAGCCAAAACATTTATTGCAGGTGCGCAATAGCTGCTTGTTCGAAACTCTTTGGACGCTTGTTGCTTGTCCGAAAAGCTGCATCCGGGATGGCACTTTGTGTGCCCTCGCCTCAGGAACATGAATTCTGATGTGCCCAAACAGGCTCAGAGAGTCTGTAGACCGACGTGTCCAGGCTATGTGTCGAATAGGAGTGTCATCCTTTATAGCTCGAATCGCCGGTTCCTCTAGTAAAAGCCCTTCAAGTGGGTCATAGGCTCCGTCTAATGTGTTAACTTTCTTTGGAATAGGACCGACAACAAATGTCGTCCAAGTCTCTTGTCTTTCCACCGTAGCATTCCCAAATCTTGCAGCAATGGCTTCACTGTGCTGTAAAATACTAGCTGCTTTTGCCGGCGATGCGGCAAGTACTGCCACGCCGGACGGAACCTGCCATGCGTCGACAACAAATGATGGGTCAGGGATCAGCCTTTGAACTTGTTGGCGGAGTAAAAACGGGTCTGCTTCTCAAGCTTCGTGTCCTCGATCTAGCCGAATCATAATCTTTTTGTCTTCTTTGCTCTGAGTCTGGGGAGGCGTCGGTCTTATCATAGGCCGATGTACATCAATGTTTGTTCCGGTCGAGACCCCTGCAGCTGCTTTGGAGGCCCATGTCCTCTTGTTGTCACTTTGAGTGGAGGGTTTTTGCTCTTGCTCATTCATTGAGCTCTTGTAAATCTTCTGTCCTCTGATGGCTCGTGATACCTCCTCTGAGATAAGGACTAAGAAGTCTGCACCTGCTCCCGGGCATTCCTTTTCCATATCTTCAAGGTACGGTCCAACTAGATTAAGTAAACCTCTGGCTTTTGACATGAGGGAAGTACGGTAGCTCCCTGCGGGCTCGCTGTTTTCTGTGTCCATTGGGGTCACGCTGGGCTCCTCTTTGTCTGCATCTATTTGGTGCGTGGGGATTTTACTTTCAGGAAATGTATTATCTGTCAACTGATCTTCTTCGATCGTGTCTTTGCCCCTAGGACTCAAGACCTGGTGAGTGTCGGGAGGAGCATTTTGGGGCACTAATGCCTGAAGTCCTCGAGCAACAGCGAATCCAGAGATTGCTGCATTCAGCTTCGAATTTGAGCGGGCGGCAATGCCATCACTTAACAGCCCCCGTCCAGAGTTGCTTGCGTGTCTCTGAATGCGATGCTTTGCATCCAGTACCTCGGACACCTCGCACTTTCTGCCGCGAGCCGGAGGAGCCATATCCTCTGCTTAGAGAACAGGCTTGAATTTACAAATTTAATTTGCTCTGATGATGGAAGTTTTTGGTGGAACCCTGCAATTCACTTTTTTGTGATGCAAGAGATATCTATACATATATTCTAGTCTATGAAGCTAGCCCCTAGTCCCGTGACACTGGGTTGGTATTCACGGATAAGGATTGACTTGGGTGAAGAAAAGGCCACCATAACTTTGCAGTGGTACATGCAAATGAAATCTGAGGCATGTTTGTTTGTTTTTTTTTTAATTGTTTTAGGGTCCTAAGCTATGCTCTATATCTCCTAGGAGTCAAAGACCGGTGTACACGGCCGAGATCATGCTTTCCGCTTGCCCACCTCGGTTTCACCGTGTGAACCACTACACAACCAGTAGCTAGTTACAAGAAAGAAAATAAAACCCCACACAATCTCTCATAACCAAAATTTCAAATCCCATACTCCTATTTGTGGTTGAAAAACAATACTCGTCTCATTTTCCTACCTGTCATGCTTCGTGCTTGTGATCTAGTTAATGCTGTCTCCACTGAGAGCTGGAGATGAATCCGTAGGTGGGCCCCCGAAGCAGCCGGTTTCCTGCGCAAATTTTGTAAAGCTCTCGAGGCACTTAGGCCCGAGAAGCTTGTGGACAAAGTCGTGATGTGACATTGTACCTCGTAGTCGACGCGTCTGACGTACGTGCAGTTGACAGTGAATGAAATGGAGAGGTGATGTTTCCTCTCCACATGCACACTCAATTGAATCGGCGAAGTTGTTGAAGCGGCGGTGACATGCTGCGAAGTTTCCATGGCCCGTACAGGCTGAGATCAGTTTACGGAGTAGCCGCCGGGAAAGTGTCTGCTCGCGAGGCTTTCGTCGTCGCATGAGAAGTCCAAGTGTCGGAATACTTAGGTGGTAATTTATATCACAAGCTTGATGTAGTAGTAATATTTATTGTACGTCTAAAAATGATCTCTCCCTCCTGTCTTCCTAGAAGGAAACATCTATAAACCGTAAAGCCCCCTGTCTCCTAACGCCATTCCCAAACGGGTACCTCATTACTCATCAACACAACTAGTCATTAGTTCTAAGGAAATACATATTGATCATTGGATTGTTAAGTCATTAAACACCAAGATTTCGATACCTAGGTGGACATACTTCTTCCTACCAGTCGTCCAGAAGCGCTTGACGTTTCCAGATCATAAGCCGACGAATGAACGCCATTGTGACGGAGCCAGGCTGGCTGTCTTTGCTTGGCAGTTGTCGGAGGCCAGAGCGTGCAGCTCTGTCTGCATCTTCATTTCCCTGTATCCCGGAGTGGGCTGGTATCCACTTCACCGAGACTAGAGCCTTTTTTGATAGCGCCCTAAATTGGCGTACGCCGTCTAGGCTTGTTGTGGAAATTCCCGTCAACTGTGCCTTCACTGCAGACTGACTATCTGTCAATACATTGATCTGCTGCCTGCCGTCTCTTTCCCCTTTCTCCCCCTCCGACAATTCCAGCGCAGCTTCCAGGGCCTTCCTCGCCCCTAGTATTTCCGCATCAAGCACTTCACCACCATGCTTGATGCCACATCCCTTCCACAGAGTTTTTCCATCTCTCTTCAAGACGAACCCCCATGCTGAGCGACCATTCCCCTCCGACAATCCATCTGGGTAGGCGCAAATATCTGATGCCAGCACACTATTAATGAACCGAGTTGCCTTCTCTTCCTCCACTATCCTTGGGTTGAAACTCGAAAGATAGCTTGGGAGCGGCAAAGGCTCGGCGTCTTCTGCATCCGGGAGTTGTCGGTAAGTCCGCTGTACTCATGTCATGTGGATCTCTAGATTCTTCTGTGTCCGAGAACATTTCTTGTACTTCTGTATTCCATCATTTGGACGCATAGCGGCGCGATTCTGGAGCGGGTGACGGTTGTCTAGTGAATGGAGCCGAGCCGAAAGCCGTAATCGATTCCTTTCCAGAATGATCTTTCCTGTTGGGATGCTTCCTTCGCGGTGGAGAACAGGATTCGGTGTCGTTCTCATTACCGGGAGGGCAGCACGCAGTTTCGTCAGGATTGCCTTATCGATCAGCTCGCAGAAAATGCTAGTCCGAGGTGTGATGATTCCCCTTTTGGTCCGACGTTTGAGGCCGGGCCACCAAACATCTGCTCCAAAGGTTGCTACGGGGACAATGCACGTGTCCACTGCCCGAACCAGTGCTGCAGGAGCAGCTCCTCGAAATGCTGAGTTGAAGCGGCGCATTTGCTGGGCCACCTTCAGAGCTTTGCCGCACCACGTTGTGACGTGGAGTTTGAAGTTCAGTCGCGGGTCTAGGTGTACTCCCAGCCAGCGTATCTGGTCTGATGGCTCGATAACCACGCCATTCACACAAATGCCCACTGGCTTCTCGCGTTTTCGTCCGGGAAACTGGACTACCTCCGACTTGTTAGTATCGAAGGAGACTGCGTTAGTACTTGCCCAATCCAGAATATGGTCCGCTTCCTTCTGTACAGAAGCGGCTGACTCGGCAATGCTGCGCCCGAATCCTACTATCCCGACGTCGTCTGCGTAGCTGAACCTCATTCTTACATTGCCACTTCACATGGGATCTACCATGTACAAGAGGAGGAGAAGTGGCGATATCGGCGATCCCTGCGGAACCCCACACACCAGCTCTCTTTGTCCGGTTACCCCTCCTGAGTATTGTACTTGCATCTTTCGTTGTGCAAGAAATGACGTTGTCCATCTGAGAATTGAGTCAGGCCACCCCTGCTCTTGCATCCTCCTCACCAAACGGTTGTGAAGTACTGCGTCGAATGCGCCTTGGATATCGAGAGTCGTGAATGTGGCCGCCCATCCCTGGGTACTCGCTTCTTCGATGTCGTGGACTACGCAGTTGACAAGGCCGTTTGCCGACCTCTTAGGGAGCGCTCCGAATTGTTGGTATCCGACAACGTCGAGCGTTACTGCGAGATGGGCCATCCGCTTCGCTAAGAGTCGTTCCAGTCCCTTACCCAAGCATGACAGAAGTGCGATCGGTCTCCTGCCCTTGACAGTCGTTGGATCTCAGTTCGTCTTACGTAGGAGCATCACTTCAGCCAGCTTGAAGCAGGATGGATGGGTGCCGAGTCTGATGCAGGTGCGGAAGAGAGTGCCAACAAATGGTCCAATCGTCTTCCAACATGTTGGCAGAAGCTCCACAGAGATCCCGTCTGCTCCAGGCGCTGTATTGGCGCAGCCTACGGTGCACATGCGGATCTCTTCGTCCGAGACATGGTCGTTCCAGGGGATTCGGTCGGTACTCGGCGCATCGAGTGGCGGTAGGTCGTCCGTCGCTTGGTATCGTGCCAAAAGAGCATCCCAGAGTACCGCTGCTCGCTCGGCCGGATCGGAGTACACCTTCCCTTCGTGGTTAAGTGGAGGGTGGGTGCTTGCCTGCCTTGGCTCGGCGGACCGCATCAGCTTGAACACGTCAGTCGGTGTTGTGGTCGCTTCGGCTTGACGCGTCTGGTGCTCTTTCCTTGCCGCTCGGAGGATTGACCGCAGCTTTTTCGCATTCACCCATCGTTGCTCCGGAGTCACTGCTGCACGATATTCCGTGTGAGCCAGCTTGTATTCCGGAGTCCACCAAGGCGCAAATTTGCCACGTCTTCTGTTCCTTCGTGTTCCTGCTGCTTTGAAAGCGTTAGTAAGGCCGGAACAGAGATTGTTGGCGTATTCGTCCACCTGGCAAACCGAGTCCAACACTGGTGGCGGGTGAGTGAATCGCGCCACGGCAAGGGCGAACCTCGGAAAGTTTCCGCGCGTTACCCTAATCGGCGATGGCTCATGGTCCCATTTTCCGCATCCGGTGGGGACTTGTCCTCGAATCGGAAGATGGTCGCTGGTTATACACTCGCTGCGACCCACCCATGCTTGGGCCCCGTTGATATTGGTCCAGGCAAGATCCTGCGTGTTTCCGGCTTGATGCGTTGGCTCGCCCACAATCAGACAAGTTAGATTATGGCGTTCCGCACATCTCTCGATTTCGATTCCTTGTCCGCGTGGGCGGGCAGCATCTGGTTGCCATGCGCGGTGCACCGCGTTGAAATCGCCAGCCGCGACGGATCGTAGTGGTGGGTCCCAGCTGAGGAGTGGTCGAATGGCCGTCGGGTCGTTCGGGTCCTTGTACACGTTGAGAAACGTGACTCCGTTTACCACAACCCAGCAGTAGTCCGCCGTCGGGGGATTACAGGGAAAGATTTGTCTTACCGAGAGGTTCCCTGTATTGATTCGTGTATAAGTCACAGCCCTGGGTCGAATGTTTACGCCGCCATGTGGCGTATGACAGTCGTATCCAGGGTGTGACTTTGTTTCATTTGTGGCTTTTTTCCACAAAGGTTCTTGTATTAACACTACATCGACGCCTAGCTCGTAAGCTCGGGAAAGCGCGATGTCGTGTGATGAGCCTCCCCTACCTACGTTGATCGACATAAAACTTATCGTAGGTGGGAGGCTGGAAGGGACCCATGAGGGGCCCTTCAGGAGGTCTCGACAGGATTCGTCGTTCCTGTGGCCGCGGCGTCGGAGGCGACGTCGGTCATTAGAACTTCGAAACTGTTGTTTGATTTGACCACTTCGTGTGAGGCTTGCTTTTGCTTGGCAGCCGCTTGTACTGCTGCCTCAGCGCAACGGGCTGCAGCTTTAGCCCTCACCACGGCCGCTAGCTCGCGTTGGCTCGCGATGCGAATATTGGCCAGTTGCTCTTTGCTAACGGGTCCGGCCTTAGTTGGGCGCGCCAGGCAGGTTCGACTGTCGGACCTTTGCGGTCCTCCGCAGTTGCGGCACTTGGTGTAAGCACGGCACTCGTCTGTCGAGTGCATTGTGGAGGTGCAGTTCCCACAGGCTTGAGCGCGAGAGCAACCGCGCGTTCCATGGAACTGCAGGCAGCGTTTGCATTGCTGCACAGTCTGTCGCGGCTTGTGTGGGACCGCGACGCCCGAGTCGTCGAGCAGGCGGAATCCTTGTCTTTGTGCTGCC